TCAGTTAAGCGACTGCCTTCGGCTCAGGTCATGATCCTGGAGTCCCGGGATCAAGTCCGCATCGGGCTCCCTGCTTAGCGGGGGGTCTGCTTCTCCCTCTGACCCTCTTCCCTCTCGTGCTCTCTGTTTCTCATTCTCTCTCTCAAATAAATAAATAAAATCTTAAAAAAAAAAAAAAAAAACTGTTTAAAACTCAAGGGAGAAACTTGCTCTAAAGGTGTCCAGGGAGACATCGGACTGTATCAAAATACAGTCCCAAGAGTAATGCACTTGACCGGTGGTTAGGAGTACACACTTCAGACCAACTGACAGACTCTAATACCCATTCTGCTACTTTCTAACTGCATGCCTTTTCTAACTGTGCACCTTTGGGTAAGCTCTTAAACCTCCCTGGCCAGTTTCCCTGTTTGTAAAGCACTAATGACTCCCATCTCCTAGGGGGTGCAAGAGACCCCTGGTTTGCTTGGCCAATCCAGGTCTTTCCTCCTCTGAGACTTGATTCTCTCCTCTCAAGGAAGGGCTCTTGTGGCTGTGCCTTTTCCACCTGAGCACGTTCCCTTGTTTGCCACAGAGGGAGAGACCTGGCGGCATTTGACTTAGGAGGACCCAACCCACTGGCTAGGCTGACAGAATCAGCTTTTCTCTCCCTGGGGGTGAGATGAAGGTCCCGATGAAACAAAATGCCTAACAGGGAGCCCAGGGTGTAATGAGGATTCAGTGGTTTTTAAACCCAAAGCAAAGGCAACTCCCCGGCATCTACTCTTTAACTTAAAACATTTCAGTCCACAGTAACTATAATGTGGTTAGTTGGTAGAAGCCTAATGGGCACTGCGGGTGGGGGGTAGGGGGAGTTTCCCTCAGGTTTTGGAGTGACAGCTCAAACCAAGACACGTATGACATTGCTGTCTCTATAACCCCTTCATGCCAGAAACATTTCTCAATGAAGCGTGTATTTATTAAACAGGCCTAACAATTCTCACGCCAGAAATTTTAATGTCATGGTGTGAGCGTAGGTAGATTCAGATGTAGGAGTGCTTATTTTTAACAAGTCCAATTGGGAAACAGCAGAGGTGAGATACCATTTCGAACCACGCCTCTTTCTCCTGTGCACCCCCAAGTCGACAGCATTAGCCTCAGCACCAGCTGTTTCCTCACCCTGTTCTCAAAGTGTTCAGCTCATTAAATGCAGCAAAACTTCCTCGGCAAGGATTACATCTCATTTTTCTCATTAAACCAGAAAAGGCACCATGGTAGGGAAAAGACGGGTTTTAGCTCCTGAGATCAAGTATCCAAGAAAGGACATGGTCTCCGTAATAAACAACCAACACACAAAGAAATCCTTTCCTATTTTAGTATTAATCTCAACTTTCAACCCATATGGTGAAGACAGAATTTTTACCCGTCTATGAACTTTTCATCTTTCACAGTATTTTCTTTTTCCTTTCACCTTCTTATGTCACGAAAATGTTATTTCCTTTTTTCTCCTCAAGGTCATTGACCTCAAGGTCAATTTGATTTGTTTTTCTTTTATCATTTTCATCCTAATTGAATGTTCTCAGTTGAATGTACAAATGATTTTTTTTTTCATGAGAGAAAATTTGCCTGCCCGCCCACCCTCCCTCCTTCTCTTGCTCTCTTTTAAAACAGGAAAGTTTCTGGAATCACGCAGTGGTGTGATTAATGCACTTCAGAGATTACCTAAAGTTTTCACACATGCTGAAAGATTCTGTATGCTTTTGGGGATAGCAAAAAGGACTCAGGGCAAAATACCATTCCTCCAGTGCTATGCACTATGGAGTAGAGTCATATAGATACAGCATGGCAGCCCCTACCAATACTTTCCCTTGATTTACATATATATGTATGTATGTGTGTATGAATGTATAGGTATATGCATAGATGTGTGTGTGTGTGTATGTGTGTGTGATCTGTAACCAGCAAGGTATAATCCAGGCTTTTTTTCAAAAGGAGCAACAAGTTCAAATGCATAGCTAGGTATGGGAGAAGACACATAATTAGACAAAATGGATTTAAGAGTTACATAAAGTCTCAACTGAGCCACTGCATAAAAAACTGAATGAAGTGTTGTGATTGCTGGTCTGGTGTCCAGAAGAACAGACTATGTGGACAGTGGCAAATAAAAGGCAGTTACTGAGAGTTATGGAGTATAGCCGGCGTTCCATGAAATTTGGACTATAGACTGTTCCACAGTGGGCTGTGCTGAGGAATCGAATGCCCATGGCTAAAGGGGGAGCTCTGTTAGAGATGCGCCTAAAAAAAAGATTTGGTAAATATAATTTTGGAATTATATTTTGAAGAGAAAAAGGGCAGTAGAGAAATTTCCATAGCCTGTAACTTTTCAATAGTCATAAAAATTCTTAGAGAATTGTAAGCACAAGAGGATCTATTACGTGTTACTATTTCCCCTCTATAAGTGGACCTTTCCAGCCAAGGCAGGTATATTCTGGAGAAGATAACAAGCAAAGTCTGTAGATACAGAATTTTTCAGTAAGAATACTCAAACCAATAACTAAATATTGACGATAAGCCCCCTCATAGGATTAAGGAGCTGAAACTAAATTACCACTTTTTCCTATTTGCAAATAATCTTATTTGCATATTTGTCTCAGGCCAACTGAATGAAAAGTAGATATTCCTCTCTCTCGACAATCTCCCTGAAATAAATGGGACGAAAAAAGCAATTGTCTGAGAGAGACCCATTTTCTTAAAGAAAACATCCTGGATTAATTGACAAAAGTACCCATTAGGGGCGCCTGGGTGGCTCAGTTGGTTGGATGACTGCCTTCAGCTCGGGTCATGATTCTGGAGTTCCAGGATTGGGTCCCGCATCGGGCTCCCTGCTCAGCGGGGAGTCTGCTTCTCCCTCTGACCCTCCCTCCTCTCATGCTCTATCTCATTCTCTCTCTCAAATAAATAAATAAAATCTTTAAAAAAAAAAAAAAGTACCTATTAGTCCCCATGACACCAGTGCTTATGGCATTTGGGGTTTGTCTCTCAGTGTGCAATTTAAATATATATACCTAACATCCTTGCCAATAATAACTTATTGTCTGTTGATACTGCCTAACCATTAAAATCTCTATTAACAGTCTCATGTTGGATTTGATAAACCTTATAAAAAAGGTTCTCAACACTTCAGACTTGCAAGACACTTGCTAAAGTGGCAAATACAATGATGAACTAAGAGTCCCCTCCCTCAAATTTATAATCACCTGAGAGAAACAAATATATACAAATAAATAGAAAAATAAACATAGCATGTTGTTGGCAACTTTGCCATGTATTTGGTGGCTGTGCATCAGGATTTGTCTATTTTGATGATAAAATTTTTCTGAAGAAGTATATTCAGCTTGTGTTACCATTTGAAGTGTATTTTGCTTGAGTTATTTATTAAAGATTTTATGTATGTATGTATGTATGTATGTATGTATGTATGTATGTATGTATGTATTTAGAGACCATGTGTATGCATCTGAGCGGTGGGGAGGGGCAGAGGGCGAGGGAGAGAATCTCCAGCAAACTGAGCGCTGAGCATGGAGCATCATGCGGGGCTTGATCTCAGGACACAGAGACCATGACCTGAGTCAAAATCAAGAGCCGGACGCCTAACTAACTGAGCCACTCAGGCACCCCTGCTTGAGTTACTTAAAAGGGAAAAGTTTTATGTCACAGGTATGTTTGTGCAAACATTATGATGCTATTATAATGAAGTATTATATATTATTATTAAACTGATGATCAGATAACTTTGGTTCCTGCACCATTATGGACATGGTAGATGGCAGAAACTCCTGATTATAAATTAAATGTAGACCCTCAGTGGCCAAAAAAAAAAAAAGAGAGAGAGAGAGAAAATCTATGTAATCTGATGAAGACAAAGAGCTACCAAATAGAGTCTCACATTTGACAAACCTTTAAATTCTTCTCGAAAGCTACCTATGAATTTATCAAATTACAAATATCCTATTTGGAGAAGACACCTCCCTCCCATTCATTTATACATCAGAAAGCTTTTGGAAGTCATATGTTCACTAAGGGTGTAGTGACTGAGATAATCTAAGGGGAATGAAAGTTGGCAAGAGAAAAAGAGATATGATTATAATGTGGTTTATTTCTACTTCTCGCTTTAAAACTCTTTTTGAGGGGCGCCTGGGTGGCTCAGTCGGTTAAGCGTCTGCCTTCGGCTCAGGTCATGATCCCAGAGTCCTGGGATCGAGCCCCATGTCGGGCTCCCTGCTCGGCAGACAGCCTGCTTCTCCCTCTCCCTCTGCCTACTTGTGCTCTCTCTCTGTCAAATAAACAAATAAAATCTTAAAAAAAAATAAAACTCTTTTTGAGAGAGAAGTGGTCTTACAGATTCTAAAAAAACTTTCAAAAATGCCAGAGAGGGCAGGTGGGTTCAGTATAACTTTCCCTAGGTTAAATGAAAGCTCTTTATCCTCCAGCTGGTAATCCTGATACACTCCGGACACAAACACAGATATTTGCTGTTGTTCAGTAAATGTCCATTGAATTAAGGTACTTTATGCACTTTTCCAGGCCAACAAATCACCAATCTTTCCTTTCTTCCAATGACAGACTACAGAGAAATGTCTTAAATAAAATACATTCATTTGGTCTGATCATAAATAATTTTATGATATTATATCTTAACTCAAGATTAAGACATATAAACAAATAAGGAGAGTAAAAGAAATACTCATTTGAAATAACCCATTTATAATTAAAAGCCATAGCTCATTCTTTGGTATGCTCTTGATTTTAGTTCCTACCAAGATGAGTCATGTTAGAAACAGGTGAATACTTTATCTTATGTTAGGACCAAAGAGTTGTTAGTTTTGAACTGATTAAAACTTTCTTCCAAACTCGAGTATTTATGAATAGAACTTCTGGTTTGTAAAAATAAATCAATGTTGATCTTGTCAGAGGGACGAGGAATAAGAACAAAAACACATACAAATAAGAAAGCAGAAACTTACTGTATCACGTTGCCTGTTATCTTTCCCTGATATTATCAAGAAGTAGTTCCATGTCAACAGTAACAACAAAACCAGTGGTATCATGTAGAGCTCAAAGTTCCAGACAACAAAGAGAAAGAGCTAGAGGAGAAGGAGAGAGAAAAAGATGAGTCAACTCTGACTTTCATTAAATGGACTCTCTTATCCATAGCCCACTTCAAAAACGCAAAACTAAATGCTTCAGAATGGAAAGATTTATCTTGAAAACAAAACCTTGAGAACTTGTTAGGCATTTTTCTAAAAGCACAACTGACCCCTGGAAAGTTACTGTTAGGATTTTTAATTTAATTTCTATGAAGGAAAACTGGTATCATCACACTATCAACAGGGTAATTTTAATTTTTCTCATCTAGTGAAATTATGGTCAGGTTGGACAAAATAGAGTTAAAAAAAAAAAAAAGGCTGCCAAATGAGCTTCACTACATTGTCAGACATAGCTGGTCTATCTGCCTTAATGATAAAGAATGAATCACTGTTTAATATCACGGACTTTTTTTTTTTTTGAATCTCACAATGCAACATGCATAATAGGCAGATGAAAACACCAAATCTGCACCAGTGAGCCAAAGATCTCACATTATGAATAAAAGCACTGCTACCAGTAAGTGTAAAAATAGGGTGGCTTAACATTTAGCATTACCATAGAAATCAAACAGCTATTTAAAAAATAGAATAACTTTGTCAAAGGAAATTTTTAAATGTCTTTGTCTACTATCTTTGAAAACTACCGACTCTCTATGTAAATTATTTTTTAATTGTAAGACAAATATTAGAGTAAGAGCTCACTTAGCCTGGCAGGAGGACCCATTCTAAGATCATCTGCACTGTAAAATCAGCAGCGCTGTGTACGAAGTGTGACTTGCCCTCGCACCCATCCCCACTCTTATAATCCTGAAGAGATCATCTAAACTCTCTGAGTCTGTGGCTCCAGCTGCCAAACAAGGCAACATTAAGTCAAATGATTTTGTGGAGGTACTGAAGAGCTGGATTCCATCCCTAATGCTGACTAGTCCCATCACTTCTGGCACCATCTTGCCTTCAGTTTCTGCCTCTGTAAAATGGGGCTGAGAAGCGTATCCACCTGACAGACTGTGAGAACTAAAGAGTTGAAATGTGTTAGGAAGTTAACACACTGCGTGGTACCCAGTAAGTGCTCATAAAACATTTGTATTGTTGTGTACATGTTTATCGATACCTTATGAAATTCAGAAAGTTAACTAATATTGACTAGGGTCCTCAGGTGATGCTTATTCCATTACTGAAAACTGGAAGTCATCTGCCTCCTGAGATTTAGCTGAACCATAGTGTAAGTGGGAATTTGAGCCAGCTGGTTGGGGTAACACAGATATCAGGCGTTTGACAGGCCAGGAGGGTCAGGAGCAGCGCCCTGAGAACACTCATGTCAGGCAGGGCAGCACGGACTGTTTAGCCACGCCTATACAGCCTAGTAAGATGGTGAAGAAAATCAGCCTGTGTGGAGGGGTAGAGAAACCCATGGCTTAAGGACCCAGAAGACAGATTCCAGGCCTTAGAAAGTCACTCTGCCTCCATGTTTTCATTTCTAAATACACGGGTCTATAGATCCAATAACCTTTAATATCCCTTCTATTTAAAATGACTTCATGGCATTACTGTGACATCTGTTTTGTTTTTTTTTAATGTGACATTAAATCCTGAATTCTTGGGATATTCATAACTCAGATGGACACCCACAAATAATGATTTAGTAACCCAAGAAATGACTTTTGGACAGAATTACATGGAAACTATAGATTGAAATTCCTGAATAAGAAAAATCTCAAATGTATCAATGCATGAGACATGAGCCTCATCTTTACTTTCATAAGTAGAAGGATTTCCAGAAAAATAAAATATTTCTATTTAATTTTTGAAATTTATGCAATATATATAAAGATGATACAAATTATAATTGATGGTTATGATTATTCTATTTAAATATATTTTTAAAAGATAATTCTTTATTCAGGAAATTAATTAAGGCAAATCTGACAGACACGAACATATGTAAAAGGGAAAATTATTTTTGGCTAGAATCCATATTAATTCTTTACCCATTTATTTGCAAAATTTAGGCAGTTACTAGAATATAAGCTCTTTAAGGATAAGGACTTTTTCTTTTTGTTCTTATTCTATCCCCAGAGCCCAGAAGAGTGCTTAGGAATAGAAGGTGTTCAATAAATATATATTTGCTGCATTAATGAATAAATGGGTACTGGGTTCTTTTAACATAAATCTACTTAATTATTGTTTCAGTAAAAGTACTATATAGCCACTATGTAACATCAAGTAAATTCATGAAAATATATTCAGAATTACAACCTGGGATGCCACTAACCAATTTCTCCCTGAGGCATAGAAAGATTCTCTTTCCATTCTGGCCATGCAGTCATAAACTGTCTCGTGTATTATGGTCTGACTACCATCTTTCCTTTTGGACCTTCCTCTATGTTTGCCTCTTCTGAGGACGTTCACTTGACTTGATGTGTTCTGGCCTCATGGATGGGACTCAGATGATTCCACAGCTAAATGTCACCAATTGTATTAATTTTAAATTTATTAAGCACAGACATTCCATCCTGTAATGTCCACTCACTGGTATTAGAGTTCTGATGTCACCCAGAATAAAGTTACTGGGAATGTCTATGTGTTAGTGTTAGTTGGAGGACAGGTATTGCACAGAATACACTTTCTAGGTGATAACCAAGTAATCAAGACACCTATCATGCCTTTCTCTTCTCTAGATACAACATCACCAGTTGCTTAAAGCACCACTCCACAAGGCATGATTTCTGGGCACGTCTCCATTGTGGACATCATCCTCTCACCACATCCAAATCCATAAAAAAGCAATAGCTTTCTTAAAATACAGCACTCAGAACTGACACGCCATGTCTAATTAATACCTGTGGTATTTATATGCCCTAACAACACAAGCACCAGAACATAAGACGGGGAAAGATACAGAAGAGACCCCCCCCCCCAAAAAAAGGGTAGAATTGCATGAGTTTCATGGATCTTGGCAATGGAAAAATAATCTTCCCTATTTTGTTTTCTTTAAGAATCTAATATTTAGGGCGCCTGGGTGGCTCAGTTGGTTAAGTGACTGCCTTCGGCTCAGGTCATGATCCTGGAGTCCTGGGATCGAGTCCTGCATCGGGCTCCCTGCTCGGCAGGGAGTCTGCTTCTCCCTCTGACCCTCCTCCCTCTCATGCTCTCTGTCTCTCATTCTCTCTCTCTCAAATAAATAAATAAAATCTTTTAAAAAAAAAGAATCTAATATTTAGGTAATTAGGTAAGGGGCCTCTGCTGTTGAGAATACCTTAAAAAAAAAAAAAAAAAACAAGAGAGCTTTGAATAAACTCTAAATACAAAAGCATTCATTTTTTTTCTTCCTCAATAATTAACTGGAGAGTGGGCGCCTGGGTGGCTCAGTTGATTAAGCGTCTGCCTTCGGCTCAGGCCATGATCCCAGGGTCCTGGGATCGAGTCCCGCATCGGGCTCCCTGCTCCTTGGGAGCCTGCTTCTCCCTCTGCCTCTCTCTCTCTGTCGCTCATGAATAGATAAATAAAATCTTTAAAAAAAAAATAATTAACTGGAGATTTCAAAAGGTCAAAGTAAAAAAGAACATAAACACCGATTAACAATAAACTATACTTATTGAACATTACTATGTGATACACAATAGTTGATGTTCAAAATTAAGATATGACATGGTCTCTGGATTATAGTATTAGTGATTATTATAATAATTATTAGCAAGAGAGGATTATCCAATAAAGAGAGGCTTCAGAGGAGGGAGGGTGCCTTTTAGTTTATTGTCTCTACACTCAAGCTTCCCTTCTCTCAGGGCCCACCTGCACTGAGATTGATCCTCTCCTCTTACAAAAAACCAAGATAACACCCAGGACCAGGTCCTCAGTGTCCTCCTAGGGCAGCACATGAAAGATATCTCAGAGAAACCCCAGGAAAGACCAGACAATATAGGATCTATCCTTGGTCCTGACTCCACTTACTCCTGAGTTTGAGAGAAAAAAGTCAGATATCATAACAGGCTAAAATGGGGTAGAAAAAGAAATCAGGGAACAATTCAAAAAAAATCCCCGACACAGTCACAGAATATAAATACAAACCATAAAAGTCCCAGCATTTATCCTGCCCATACTTCCAGAACCCAAACTGAACCTGGTCCAAAGTGCTGGCCCACAGAATCATCACTAAATAAGTGGTAGTTGCTTTAAGCTACAAATTATGGGGTGGTTTGTTATACAGCAAAAGCTAACTGACACATATTCTTTTTCCAAGGAGACAGTGGTGTCTATAATAAATATGGTCTGGACCAGAAGACTGAAGAAGTGGTTTTAGATCCATTTCTGCTCTTTGATCATCACAGGACCTTGAGCAAGTCAGTTATTCTCTTTTATTTGAGTCTATTATTTATCAAATGGAGATGGTAACACCTGCCTATTTCACAAGTTGGCTGTGGGGAACAACTCCTGTAAAGTATGTGAAAACACTTTATCACAAAGTACTCAGTAAGTCCAAGTATTATCAATTTGATGTTTTCATATTTAAAATTGTTTCTGAAAAATTCAGAGACTTTATAAACTAACACTCCAGGAATGGTCACTATCATAATTCCCCTTTAAGCAGTTATAGAAGATGGGTGGTGTTTCTTAGAGGGATTTGTGTGTGAAAGGGTTTTGTTGGAAGGAAATCATAAGTGTGCAATTAGAGGGGTTGCTGTTAAAATTTTTGCTAATAGCTGAAACAAGAAAAATCCAGGTCTTTACATAAACTCATTATTTCTAGTAATTGGCATTAGCACACATTGCAGATTTTGTGAACTCCAGACTTAATCAGGCATTTAAATGTTAACCATTTTAAACAACCTCTATATCTGCCCCTAGATATAAAAGAATCTTGTTCTGAACTAGCTGTTTTGTGACTATCAATTCCTGTTCATAATTTTTTTTTTTGCTTTTAAATCCAAATGCCTTTCATCTAAATCAATGTTATCTTGCCTATGACATTAGCATCAACATCACAGAATGCAATTATT